GCAAAGACAGGGTGGGACATGGGTGGCGACAATGGTCAATTAATACAACAATGGCGGCGGGCGGCTTGTCTCTGTGGCTGATGAAGGTCAGTGGTAGCAATTACGGGTTGTAGATGGATGACAATAATGTCGGATGTGTTAGAGCTCATCAAATATACACCTTTGTTTTTCTTGCCTCTCATCTGGTTTGAATGGAGCTCTCCTAGTAACGAATCATTAAGGCAGTTTTTATTCGAAGTGACACTAATTGTTAAAAATTTATTATTATTACACAAACAAGAAGAGAGAACTTCAGCTAAGGTTGGTCATTAAATACTGGTTATTCAACATATAATAGTAATATAGTCAGATTTTTGAATTACAAGATCTATCATCTTGAGCTTAAAGCACATGATGAGGGAATGATTATGAACTTGATTAAGATCTTATGAATTTGTTGTTCCAAGTCATCATGGTCCCTAATCTAATTAGTCACATGATATAGTCGACCTAGCCTGACCGAGGAATCCTTGCTAGCAATTATTGGTTGCATCATCCAAGGTGATATTGTAGATATAAGGAGAATTGTTTTTCTAAGACTATACATTTAGGTTGCCTTACCTGACAAAGGCTTCGATGTCAATAAAATGTACTCTTATGATTCACAACTCAAATGATAGAAAGTCGTTGGAGAACACACGGGTTACAATTGTGATCGTAATTTAATAGCGTTATTTGACGGCTAACCTTTAGTTCAGGGGGCTTATAAAGACGTTATACCAAATCAGGTGGATAGAGGACTTGGGCCACATTTTTATTGGTGTGACTCTATTTGAGTGTGAGCTTAAAAATAGATTTGATTTGAGATTTGCTAATTGTGAAGTGAGGTTAACTAAAAATCTGTCATTCTCGATAAATTATTGTGGAGGGTGGATTGATTTTACTTTATGTTTTAGGTGATTGAATTTACTTGAGTATTTTTATCTTGTTTGGAAACTTGATTTTAAAGTTTGATTTAAAAATTAACTCATCCGGTTGAGATTTTTAGTCAACATAGCCATTATAGATGTTTAATTTTCAAAATTTTTATATATTTCAAATTATTCACATTACTTGAATTTTATTAAAAAATATTATTCGTCAAGTCTAGTTCTTCTGAGGAAGAGAATAAGACTAGGCTTATGAGTTTTGTCGATAGTGGGACCTACTTGATTATGTTTAACTTGATTTTTTAGCTTTAATTTCAAGATATAAGAATTTATAATTTTAAAATAAACATAAGTACTTTCAAAATAGCATTGCACATGTCTCAAATCAAGAATAATTTCGGTGCAAATTTATCTTTATTCCCCACAATATTAGCTTACCATTTTTAAAACATTATGATTTTGGCTGGAGCACATGCGGGTGATCAATTTCATATATTTGGACACATTATAAAACTTTGCACATTTTCAAATTGACGTGCATGGCTTTTAAAACATGACCATGAACTTGAAAATTACTTCAAAAACACTCGAAAGACTTAAAATTATACATGTCTGATTTATCTGAGTAAACATCTTGTTACTTGCACATTTTCACTTTGAATTTTAAAAAAGCCTCACATTTTGTTCGCTCATTTGCCTGTTGTGGATTTAGTGGTGATATAACGTTCAATATTTGATATGTATTCAATGTGATATTTTATTCATCTAGGTCTTCAAGATATTGAATTTCAAAGAGAATCAATTAGAAATTTTATTCAGTTATGATTTATATCTTGATTTAATTTATTTTATATCATATTAATGACAAAATTGTTCAAATTAAAATTTTTTGTAAGTTCTAGTTACAAAAAAAATATTTGGTTGTTTCGTGGCATCTGACATTGATAGAGAACACTATGCTTGCCCACCTGCTCATAGAGTGCTCCTAGTCTTTCAATAAGACTGCATGGAAAGTGGTGCCCAAAACTTTTCGTGCCCAATCGGAACAATCTGAACAAGTACTTATTTAATTATTTTTCTCGCCACATTGAAACAATTTGGACAAATATATATTTAGAAAAATCCTCGTTGAGTTGAAAAAACCTGAACGAGTACTTAATAATCCTACTTTGAAACAAATTGGCAAGGTGATGGATGCATAAACCTCTCTTCTTTTAATTTTTTTGATTTTTTTAATATATATTGAAAGCCCAAAGAGGCTAATATATTAAATAGAAAAAAAAATACAGATACAATGTGTGGGAGGGCTCAAGCGTGGCACCCTGCCCACACAAAAATCACAAATAGTTCAAAAAAAAAAATACATTAGATACTTAAATAAAAATCCTAACAGTGCCGAAATACATAAAATCAGGTGACTAGAGAGAGACCCAATTTAGTCTTGCCTCTGCCTCTAGTTCTAGGGAAGGAGCAAGCTAATAAGCTGGTAAGATGATCTCCATTGTCAGTAGTAATCAATGTATCATCCAATATGTTCCTGAGCTGGAGTTAGCCTCCATTCTTCTTCTTCCTCCTAGAATAGATTGGTCATTCTTCATCTGAAGAATCAGTCTGATGGGGTGGTAGAGCTGAAGCAGAATGAATACTGACCGTAGTACCCACAATAGGTTTTAGTATATGTGAAGTATGAGTTGCCTCTACATCGGATACTTCCTGAAAAAGTGGAGCTACGAGGCTCTCCTGATTATCAATCTGAACACTATCATTTATAAGTAATAGTCTATCAGTATTGTTTTCTATGGGGTTTTAAGGTGCTAGCATCACATTACTCGCAATAACAGTAACAACAGTGCATGGGGGGTCCTCAGGGGCAACAAACACCTCATGTCTGGTAGTATCCTCCCAGTTGGAACTAAAATGTCCAGAGCAGTGGGGTTAGACCCATCCTTATTCACTTTAATCTTAGATTTCAAAATTGGATGAAACTTGTGACATTTATCAAAGACATGACCAAACTTCTACTGACAGCTTTTGAACACATTTAGAAATTGATTCTACCGCTCGAAGGAGAGGACATCGCATCGTCGACTCTCGCTCTTCTGCGTCTGCTTCGGCTTCACCATCTCGAGTTTTCGTCGCAGTTTCCTCTCTCGCGCTTCCGTCGCGTGGTGCGTCTGCGTCTTTGTTTCGATGCTGCGCCACCTGCTTTTGCGTCAGTGTCCAGACAGTTAGGTTTCTGGTTCCTTCTGCTGCGACTGTGCCCGATTTTCTCTCTGCCGACAATTTTCTGATTGTCAGCAACCTCGCTGCAGCTTAACACCGACAACTCTCCTTGCTCTGATGACGCTTCCTTTTTCTTTGGTTGAGCCGGATAGAGTCTCCTTTGCCCACGTGGCAGGTAACCCTCAGATGGAGTCCGCGATGGTATTCCCCTTAAGCTATAAGTAATGTCTCAAGGGTGCAGATGATTGCCCTTTTGTTAAGAAGAGAAGTAGGAAATGTGGAAAAATAACAATCTTTTTCTTTGAATCAGAAATTTCTACATTGACGGAAAAATTTAAGTTTGTTCTTATTGGAAAATATCAGTGGGGACACCCTCCTATGGATGTTATCAGAAAGAGCGTTGATGATCTTAAGCTAATAGGCAAGTGGAAAGCGAGATTCATGGATGAGAGATATGTGTTGATCCAACTAACAGTGATTGAAGACTACACCAGAATTTTCTCCAAGAAATATCCTAATATCGCAGTCAAATCAATGAAGATACTCAAGTAGTCTCCTGATTTCGACCCAAATCATGAAACTCCTACTGTACCGATATGATTTAGTTTACCTGGTTTCAAGCTGCATTTTTTTCACCATTAGGTTTTCTACTCTATTGGGGCCATCCTTGGGGATTCTTTGAAGTTAGATCTGCCAACTTTCAACCTAACTAGACCCTCGGTGATCAGAATACTCGTGAAAAGGGATGTTATCTGATGTTACTGAAGTTTGGCTGGGCACAATCCATAATGGTTATTGACAATAACATATATATATATATGTATATATATATAGTTGTGTGTCGTTAAGTGGTGTAAAATATATGTTTTTTAGAGCTGTTATTTAGCTGGGTGATTAGAATGCAATGAACGCTTGTACGTTTTTTCTCTTCCGAGGACTTGCGAACCTTCAACGGCACTTCTCTGCGTCAACTTCTAATGTAAGAATTCAACGTATTTTCAAGAAGAGGAAGAAGGCTTCAATGTCTTACCAAATCAACACAAAGCAAAGGGATACCTCCAGCCAATCATCCCCCATTATAAATAACAAGTGTAGAGTCTTTCTTCTTCTCATCTCATTCATTTTGTTCTTCTACTTTTCCACTCTTCCTCTTCAAAGTTTACATTTTTGAAATAATTGGAAGATGAATAGCATCAGAATTTGTGTTCTTCTCTTTCTTTACATCTTCGTTTTAGGGCTGATGGGGCTCGCTCACGGGCACGCCATGGCACCGGCGCCGGCTGCAGAACCTCTGATGAGCAACGGTGGCAAAGTTGTTGGACAAGGAGTTGCTTATGTGTTCATGATTGTAGCGCTTCTTGTTACTTATCTCATCCATTGATATGTGATTTTTATTAATGTTAGTCATTAGTAGTGTTGTGAGATATGTACTTCCTGGCATAGAAATGAGACGAAAAAAGAACACAAGCAAACACAGATCATTTACGTGGTTCGATCCAACTGGATCTACATCCACGGGAGGGAATCAATCAAATATTTCACTAAGGCAAAAGAAATGGAGAATACATAGCTTATACATAGAGATGAGCCCTCATCTTCTATGAAGGTAGACGGGCTCAAAAATAAAAAAAATAACCAAGCATTGGAATCCTCATATTTCTTATTGAGTAATATACTATTCATAGTATATGTCAACAATAAGGGATCGTGTTGAAAATCTGGGAATTATATCCTCATTCCCCATAACATAATAGTAGTTAACAAACAACAAAACTGGTGCAAAAAATACTGTAAGAGTCAGAGAGAAGCGACCAGGATCAGTAATATCCCAAATTTCTTTATTAAATAAATGCTGCGACCTGAAGTCATAGAGATCCTATGAGGCATACCACTTTCAAATTCCATTTTTTGCTTCTCAGCTTTTTGGCATTGATTAAGTCTCCACATATTTTTTGGATAAAGGATCTATTTTTATTTCAAATGATTTCATTTCTCTCCAACCAAATGTAATACGCAACACACTGGATGGCAAGGAGAAAAGAAAGTATACAGGATTCTATCCATAATGTGATATGAGCAACACACTGGATGGCAAGGAGAAAAGAAAGTGTGGAATTACGCTCATTATTATTTACTTTAATGTGCATGAGTCACAGCTCGGAGGAAAGTACAGCATGCATGAGGGAAGGTCCATTCGGCACAGTAGATCTAAAAATGATCATTGATATAGGGAATTCAAAGAAAAGGTGCAAGTGAGATTCCTCCATGTTATTACAAAGAGGACACATGATATGCACCTCCATACCTTTGGTCTTAAGTTTGTCTTTAGTATTGGGTCCATGATGAATCACCTTTCAGCTGAAAATGGTAAACTAACACTGTAACCTTTAAACCAAATAAGTTTATTCCAATTCACATCATTTATGTTATTGCATAAAATTAAAAATATAACTTTTTGGATTAAGTCCTGGTTTACCAAACCAAATCAATGATAATCTATTAGCATTAGTAGGAATAGTTGCAATGGCATTTGTACCATTGTTGCTCGATGTGTTTGAGGAACTAGGGAGATTCCACTTCTCATTAACAATGATAATGGCCACTTTAGAATTTAGTGAGCGCTGAAATAATGTAAATACCCCGTTATATTTCATTCCAACAAACCATGGAAATTTAAATGAGGTGTCAAACACACCTATTTGTTACTAATTTTCTTCCATTATTTTTCTCTTAACCGTGATAAACTAAGCTGTCAACATTTTGAATTGTAAAATATAATGGGAGCTGCAGATTCCTTAGATTTTGATTTACATGTGCTTAGATCATACAGTTAAGTAGCATGGCAAAGTCCGTTTCTGAAGCATTTTATATACTTTTGGAGGATCACTTATTTTTTAGGGAATATTATTAGATTATGTAGAATGTTGCCAAAATACATGATTATTATGCAATTGTAGGCATCTTGCTGTATATTTTCTGAAAGCAATAATTATCTTAACAGGCTAAACTGGCTTTTGACAGACTAGAAGTTCCTGTTGGGTACGATGGATTCTTCATCCTCTTATAAATTATATTTATCCTTTATCTTTCATGATACAGGGAAGTAAAGCTAGGAGCAACATTGACATGCACGACAGTGTTCTAATTAAATAATTGGTTACGAGTCTGTTAAATTTTTTGATTAATGATATGATAATAAATTATCTGAATTTATTTGAAATTCATAAGTTGACAAATAAAAATAGGGTTCAATTATGAGAAGTTTGTTCTGGGGTATAATTGCTAAAAGCTTTCAGTTATAAAAGGTCTATAACATCCTGCCTTTTGAAGTGTTTTCCTTAGAAGTTAAAAAACTATGCTTGGTTTTAAATGCGCTTCCATACAAGTTATGGATGAATACATTTAATACTGCTATGACTTATTATTTATTAACCCAGGCTTCGGAATGCATGTATTTTCCTGCAGTAATCCATAACCCTGTGTGTTTGTTGGTATGTTGCTAACGAACTATTGATATGAGTATATAAAGTCAGTGTTAAATGTCTTTTCTGATTTTATTCGTCTATTTGATGACGGGCTTAGAGTAAAACGTCCCTCTCTTAGGTTGGTAATTATCATTTTCCTCCTGAAGTTTTGCAACACGAAATATGGTTCACTATGGTTTGAAAAACTTTCAAATGCCTCCTTTATATTTTTTTTGGATACAATTTTGATCAATCTAATAATAAAATGACTCTTTAGCCCTATATAATATAAGAAAATTTTTATCTTATTTTATTAAATATGGGCCACTAAAAAATTTAAACAACTTTAAAGAAACTTATCTAAGATATGTGAGAGTGATATACCCCACACCCACAAATACCCACACACCACACACCATATTTTTCTTTTTTTTTCCTTGATGTTTGTGTTCACACACGCATGCACGCACACACACATAGAAATTATTTACATCTATATTTTTCATGTTTTTTTGCTTGATGTTAGTGTTTTTGATTTGTTATTTGCTCATCTCACTCGCATTGAATGTTTCTTTTACTCTGTTTCTAGGTTCTTACATGGATTTTATCAGATAAAATTTCAAATATCTGTTTTAAGGGTCGATGGTTATTTTGATATTGAATAAATAAAAATTAAATGTAAAAGGTAATATAAGGGAGATGTATACTATCAGATAAATTTTCAAATAAATAGTTTGATAGTTATTTGACATTTCAAGATGGTACTTACACATCACAAAATTTCAGTCTAATTAGTTGTATACTTTCATAATTGCATGCCCAATATGTCTTTGTTTTCCTAATGTTTCTTATTGCCTGTTAGTTGTGTTATTGTGGAGAATGGCTTGGTGATTGCCTCTGGGAGCAACCGAACATCTGAGACAAGGAATGTATGGCTTTAAATTAATGCTGAAAGAATCAACTTATTCACAATTATATTTGTTGCTGGCATATGCATTCTTAGTTTCTTGCATCAATTCTTCTGCGCAAGTGATGTTAAACCATTAATTTTAAGCTATACCTTTTTTTTTTGAGAAGTATTATTGGTTATCCTTATTCTAAGGACATTAGAATTGATAGAAGTATTGGTTATCCTTATTCTAAGGACATTAGAATTGAGCTATTCTACTTTTCCTATGGTTCTGTTCACTTGAAGATATTTACAATAACTACAATTCCTAAAATCATTGGAAACATTATTCCATATGGTTTGCACTGCGGATGATCGACTCCCATTCTCTGTGCTCCAGCAATTGCCGTTCCTGACATGATTGGGAACATAATTCCTCGTTCCTATCATGAAAATAATTTACTCCTATTTTGTGTGATTTTGCATTCTTGATTTATTGCAATATTCTTATGTTTTTTGATTTTTTCATCACTTGTAACCCAAGACATGTGATCATATTTAATAAAATCTCCACCATGCTTGAGGTTGCTGGGGCTAAGGATTACGAGTGAGGTGAGTGTGATGACAAAATTATAATTTTTCTGCATCATTTTGGCAATGACCATGATTTTGGCGATGTGTGCATGTTTCATTATTGGATGATTTACATGCATACCGCTCAAATAAATTGCTTTCTCTTTGACATAGAAAGATTTGGGTTTATAGATTAGTAATACAACCTAGGATGAGATATAAAATGGTAGCGTACAAAAGGGTCACGATTTGTTTAAAATTCTGAATTTTAGATAAAAATAACCACCTTTAATTAAAAAATAATAAGCATCTTTATTTCGTTCTAACAAGAATGCAATATTTGTCAAGATATAAAATCTCACGAAGAAATTTGAGAATAATATAAAATTTCAGCAATGTTTCTGGTTCACATTACAAAAATGAATTTGATATGTATCACCCTTGACGACATTTTAATCATGTACACGCATATCACTAAACAATTTGACAGAGAACAAAGAAATTATTAATAGAAGATCCAAAATACACACTGGCATAAGGAGATTCACCCTTAGGGATGGTTGTAGCGATATGGAGCATTTGATGGATGTACATCCAATAATACACGTACAGGAAATTGAGAAATTTTGAATTTTATTTCACTACTTAATATTTGATCAATTTGTTTCCTTTTATAACTCAAAATGACCATAATACGATAGCCTTCTAGAATTCATTAAAAGTTAATCAAATTCAGTATGTTTCAATAAATCCACTATGAATTCTTATACGTTTTCAAATTTTTTTAGACAAATTAACTCTCACTTTACCCGAAATAGTAAAGAAAGGCATGTACTAACCAAATAAGAAGTCAAAGTAGGGAAGCATTCTTAATAAGTAACCTTCTAGCTTTATGCTACAGTCTTGGGAAACAGAGGTATTCAATAAGAAATAGTAGGGCATAGTAGTGAGAAATGACAACGATTGAAGGAAAAATTACTAACTATTGCAAGCTCATGATGAGGGTAGTCGTAGATGGGAATTAGGGTGTTCCATATTGAACCACTCGACTTGGATTTCCTTAACTCAGTAAATCTTTGATATTTTTCATAGAAATATAGTAATATCCAAATTTAAGAAGCCCAAATTCGAAATTGAGGGGCTTTGTTTTAATGAGGTGAGGCATAAGCCTTGAGGTAGATTAAGGTATAAGCTTTGATCCACAAAAAAAAAAAAAAATTCATAAACCTAAAATATTTTTTAATATTTTTAAATATGCTTTAAATCATTGACAATTTAATTTTAGGGTTTGTTTGGGGTAGCTGTAGCTTATCCAGCTTCTGCTGATAAGCAGCTTTTCCTGATAATTTGTTGATGAGCAGCTGATTCGGATAAACTATCTGACTGTTTGGTTTGTGCGTTTGAAAAACAACTGATTCTGAAAAAAAGACCATTTTGCCCCTGTTCTGAATAAGCTCTTTAGTTGTTTGGTTTGTGTTTTTTGTAAACAGCTTATTTGTAATTCTTTTTAGTTGAATTAATAGTCTGTGTAGTAGAATTTGTTATTTTCTCAACAAAATTAGAGATCAAATGTTAAAAGAAGAGAATACGAAAAACGGGTATTACATGTATATAACTCAAATATATCCGATCACATCAAACGAGTAAAGTTACGCATACCAAAAATAAAATGCGTCTTCACATACTAATATGGAGTATAATGAGACCAAAAAAAAGAAAAAAATAACATGTCTAAATGACAAGGAAAAAAATTATAATGTTTACTGTAAAATGTAGCAGTATATCATGGCCCATGCTGCCCGGCTCTGACACTCCAGAACCCTGATCGAACCTATCCGACTGGGATGCAGTAAAAAAAGAAGCACTCGAACCAGATGCAGTTTTTTGAAATTTTGAGATCGACGAACTTTGAGTAGCGTTTTCCAGCTGAGATATCATATAAAAAGACTCCCTGTCGGCCCACCTGAAGAAACTGCAGTCCTGTCGTTGTGCCCACCGTGGGTACCTGTAAAACTTTCTTCCAAAGCTATGTGTCTGGCGTGACGTGAGTAGCAAGGACAGTAGCCCGCACTGACACATTACTTTCTCGGACTTCCCTGAATATCTGAAACTCATCGTCCTGCAGTTATTAAAAATAGAATAGATCAGTCAAAAAATTGAGAAAATATAAAAAGTATACTTACCGAAGTATGAAGACAGCGGTTGCCGACACCAAATTTTTGTAGCCGTCCAAAATGCTCCACTGTTATCTCAATAAAATCAGTACAATTTAGTATTAAGAAAAAAATTAAATAGGACATAAATCCATATAATAACATTTGGTTCATTAATCCATATATCCAAATATATTTGCAAAACGACATGTAGTTTGAAGAAAATAAATGAATCGAATATATACAAGGATGCGTAGCACCCAAATGATGCAATAGGTAATTCGAAACCTATATGTACTGCAAAAAGTGTAGATGCAGCAGGTAAATCCGAAATAATATGGGAAAGCTATAACATATATACCAACAATAATTAGAATTACCTGAAGCATACAAATCCAAAATTTTTACATATATACCACTCAATTTCTCAGGTAAATTCGAATGTTGTACATCAAATAACAGCTATAGAAATGTTTCAAATGCTTCACCCCAAAATCCTGGAACCATGGAAAATGATGTCATACATAATCATACCATAGCAGCCATAGAAAATGATGTCATACATAACCATACCATAGCAGCCATAGAAAATGATGCCATACATAAGCAGCCTATGTAATAGATAACAATGATCTAACTGATGCTTCTCACATCAAATAGCAGTCATAAAAATGTTTCAAATGCTTCACCCCAAAATCCTGGAATCATAGAAAATGATGTCATACATAACCATACCATAGTAGTCATAGAAAATGATGCCATACATAAGCAGTCTATGTAATAGATAGCAATGATCCAACTGATGCTTTTCACAGAAAATGTGTACCATAGAGAGGCTTCATATATGTTACCGCAGCCATACTTTACTACAGAAGTTTGAGACAATTGATATTTATACAGAGAGACTTCATATATGTTACCACACAATTCTAATGATTTTTCATATATATAAATATATAAAGCATCTCATTGACTCGACAACAAAAAAACATCTCATTGACTCAACAATGCTTGATCTCAATATAAAGCACCTCATTGACTCAACAACAAAAATGCATCAAATGTAAAACAGTTTCCTGCATTGAATGTAAAACAGAAATGCTTCATATATGTTCCAAACCGAAATAGATGTTTTCAATAAGGAATTCTAAAGCCGGATTTATACAATACAGGAGCAATACAATATCCTGGACCTCACTTTTTAAAGAAATAACTATTTGCTAACATAATAAAAGATTGCTTCAGAAAAGAATAGAATAGAGGAGTTGAAGTTGTAATATGTGCTTAAAACCAAGCTCTCCAACCAACAACTAGCAGATATCCCCCAAAAAATATCTCCCAAGTAGGTATTTTAACAAGAGATCTGAAGATAAGATACGACATACTATATATGTATTCGCATTTCCCCCAAGCAAGCTAACCGAGCCAGCAAATAGGAAAACACATGCTTATCGAACCTGTAAGCATTTGTAGTTAACATATAATTAGATGCTCCATCAAACGAATAAAGCATAGGAAGACTTCAATACATCATCCATATAACTCCCAGAGGGACATGACTATAGCATCTATATAATTTCAATTCTAAAACAAGACTTGCATTTACCTTAACATAATATCAGTGCAGCAAATCAGACTTGCATGCACCTTAAAAATTGCTCTGTCATCATAAACCCGAAGATCAACAAGCCCCCTCAACATTAAAATAAAAACTAGATATTTCTATGCAGCAAAAGCTCCATCAACTCACATAAACACCCATAAAACACACACTTCACAAGCTCAAAATGGATCGAAATATCATTATCAGGATATTTTGTTGCAATATTTTCCCCAAGCAACAAAAAAGATAAAGAAATAGTGAGTCTTTCAAGTTTTTTTCCAGATCATAAAAAATTATAAAAATAAGTTCTGATTTGTAAACATAAAGGGAGAGTAAGCAGATAAACAATATAATAAAAAGTCTCATATAAGCATTAAGTTTCAAATAATCCCCTCATATATAACCACACGTGACCATCAAAGCTGCTTCAAAGAGATGCACCATGCATCCAACAAATTTTGTTACCAACAAATTCGATTCCAAACAAATTCTGTTACCAACAAATTATTCTCCATACTCGAACGAAATACAGAAGACAGCGGTTGCCCTGAAAAAAGGGCCATCCAAGCTGTTTCAAATAGAGACACAATCCATCCAATTTCGATAACAAAACATGAAAAAACCCAACAACGATTGCCCTTAAAGTATAGGGTTATCCAAGCTACTGTAGACATGAATACCAATTAAAATAAAAGTTCTTCATGCCAATCAGACAAATCCCTCACTAGCAGCTCCATTTCCCACCAAACAACCCTCATTCTTATTCAAATAAATAAATCACAGTTGAACCACAACATATATGTTTAGCCACAATTTATAAATCACAATTTAAAATTCATGCCATCATACAATTTAAAATTCATGCCACCTTGAAAAACAAATGCAGCTTATAGGGATACCAGATGCAAATAACAAAAATGATAGCTCTCCATCAAGCTGCAAACTCCCACCAACATAAAACAATATATCCACAGTAATTAGAAAATGAGCTCAAAGCATTAAAAACAACAATATATAGTTTAGGTCATACAAAGGAATTCATCCAACATATTTTCATTTTCATCACAATAATAGCATAACACCTTTCATACTAATATCATTCAAACCTTCCATATTAAATAGTTCAAAACAGATGAACATAAAAATGCCAAACATAGCCATGTAATAGCAGATTGTCCTTACAGAAAACCCTAAAATAAGGTATCATTCATAATTGTCTAGTCAAACTTTACAATACATTCCTTAACATGTTTCAGTAATGTTGTCTGCGATTCGATCTCTCAGAGCTGCCATTTCAGATTCCCCTCCACCATCTTTGGTATTTGTTTCAAGTGAATCTATTTCAAGCTGTGGTGGTACTTGAATGCTTCGGGGGGAATTTGTTGTAAATTCGCATCAACCACGACAAATTTTGCATCAGTTCTTGAAGGGTGCCTTCTAATAAAGTTGTGTAGTGTCATGGTGGCCACTACTATCTGGACCTGCTTCGAAATGGATAAGTGGACATATCACGCAATATAACCCATTTCTTCTTCCACACTCCGAATGATCGTTCGATTACGTCTCGTAATGATGAATGCATTTTTATTGAATAATTCTTTCTTCCTACGTGCTATACTGCTTGACATTTCAAAATCTGGGATATGATACTTTGTATATGGATACGACTTAAGAAACCCCTTTTATAAGGGATATGCAGCGTTGACTAGGTAGTACTTACCTGTTGTGTGATGTTAGTTATGAATGGATGTACAAAACAAAATTAATTTCTGAAATTAGCGTACCTAGAGGAGGATAAGGGAACCCATATGAACGGTTTCTAGTAGCAAACTTGAAAACACGGCTATCGTGTGCGTTATCTTCCCATCTAGCCATCACAAAAGTAAAACATATATTGAAATCACACACGACCAAGACATTATGTGTGGGGGATCCACACTATCCGATGTATGAGACTTTCTCTGTAGGAGACAGTTGTGCATCGACGTGTGTTCCGTCAATAGCTCCAATACAGTCTTGTGGTGCAGAAAGTTCCCCTGATCAACTTAAAATCAATAAATTGTTAAATTTGAAAATAAAAATTATGTAGGCCACTTATCTTGAAGAAAGACATGTATCGAGGGTTGTTTGTAATTTGTGTATGAATGGTTTGAAACGTTGGGTCCTCGGACTTTACTATCTTGTATGTCAGACTCACCAGCGCATTCAAACCCAATGAAAAATATCTACTAATAGTTTTCGAAGAGTGTTGGAATCGCTCCATAGCTCCTCTGATAGATTCATTTTGGGATAAGATATACATGGTAATTGCCAATACCTCTCTGGCAGTGTTCTTGATGAGCCGTGTAATCCATGAAGATCTCGGATTAAGCAGGTCGAGAAATATCTCATTCGTCATACAAAATATGTTTGTAAACATTGTTGGGTGTCCTCGTAATATCTCCCCGACCCATTTTTCTCCTATCTAACTCGATATCATACAAGGTGTTCGATCAACGTATGTATGATCGTAGACGACGAGAGTAACTTTGCGGTTGTGGCTAATTTGTTCTTCATCCATTCTACAAAATGTGATAAATAGTTTTTTTTTAAGATGTTTAACGTTAACTTGCAGTAGTAGGAAAGAAACTATTTTAGAAGAAATAAACGAAGACATAAACATAAAATGTAATGACACAGACAATCACATATAGTTCAAAGAAGACATAGGAACAAAGAGTCAATCACATAATTATTACAATGACTAGTGCTAAAATAAAAACAAAAGTCAATCCTAATCAATCATTCATAAAAGATTGCAAGTAAGAAATTCAGAATTCTTGGTCCAAATTCGCGAAGAACTGTGTACGAGTGGAGTTCCCCAACAACTTCACATATTTTAAATACATGGGTTCGTCTTCTTTAACACCGGGATATGTACACAAGATTTTAAGACACTCTTGAATTGAGTAGTTGTTTGTTATTAGAGGTGGTGCAGTCTTCGGTTTGCAGGATTCAAGCAGCGTCTCTATGAAACCTCTGACAAATGCGACTCCAACTTTCTTTTTTTCCGCTCTGGGACGCTTTGTCCGACCAGTTGATTGAACATCTGGAGTTGGCTGGGACCTTCTCCAGATTCACCTATGTGCTCGGTTGCCATGTCATGTGTTCAACCAGCAAAGCTCTGATAAGTTGGGGTGAAAGCATGAGTTCCAGTAGCGACAACACCTATGCACATGCTATTCAACTTTTCCTCTAATACTGGATCAATGCCGCTGAGTTTGAATTTTTTGGCAGCCGGCACAACCTGTAATATAAAAAGATAAATAATTAGTAAAAATCTTTAGAAAGATGAAATTAACGCAAAAAACTAATATAGGTATGCATTTACCGCTAACTTCTCAGCCCACTATTCATCTGGTGCATCTATTGTCCGCTTAAGTGGATCCCAACCCAATCCGGTTGATCTTCTTTTGAGCTATTTCCAAAATTTTCAGTCTTTTTTTAATTGATCCCATTTATTTTTAAGTTTCATCTGATCGTAATCCCTTCCGGTCAGTTTCTTGAATTTAACGGTTAGGTTCTGCCAATCTTCTTTATTGAAATAGGTGATCGGCCTATTACTCAACTCGACTTCCCTCACACAAAGATCACAAAATATTTTTGTCATTCTTTTTGCTGTGAACTTTGATTTGTGCATGTGTCTAAGTCATGCTTGTTGTTGTGAACATTGACTCACGCATGAGTTTATGTAATTTTGCCATGATTTTTTCTGTAGATTTAAGAACGGTTTTTTATTGATGAATTAGTAATACAGAAAAATGAAATGTATCAGGATAGTTGTTTGTCGAACAACACAGGATTTCTTGTTCTTTAAATCTTTTTACTTTTTTATTCATAACCTTTTTCTTATGCTGCTTTACATTATTAGGCAACCAGACATGCAGAAATGGAAGCCATTGACATACTAATGGAACAATGGCAAATGGCTGGACTGAACTGCTTACAAGTCGCACAAAGATTTTCTTCATGTGATCTTTATGTGACATGTGAGCCGTGTATAATGTGCGCAGCGGCATTGTCCATTCTTGGTCAGTTCAGCGCACCTAATTATTAACCTGTTCTAATTAAGCATTACTAGATTAAATAACTCTTTCAAAAAGCAGGTATTAGGGAAGTTTATTATGGTTGTGCTAATGACAAATTTGGAGGGTGTGGTTCTATCTTGTCTTTGCATGAAGGCGCTTCACTTGAATATTCCAGGTATGTTGACTATTAACTTATTAATTTATCTGCATAACTGCCAAATCTAAACTATTAGTTGTTTTTTTTTTTATTTTTTTTTTATTTGTGGATATAAGCCATGGTTTACTTGTAGACTATTATGATTCAGTTGTTGAATAATTAGTCATGTATTGTTGATTCTTGGGAATGAGGTTATGATTTTAAAAGAGAAAAATTGGGTCGTGATATCTTCACTAATAATTAGTTTATTTGTGCATAACAAAAAGAATCTGGTTTATGCTCTGTTTTCCTTGATTGGTATAATTAGTTTTTTATTTTTTTATTATTTATTTATTTTTTATCGTTGAATCTTTTGTAGCTCATATTTATATTTTGCAAAATTGTGAGTGCAGCCAGCTAATTGTTGACTTATTTATTTACTTCTGTTTAAAAATAATGCAATATTTTACCTAGTTTTGCCTCAACCTCAATAAAAAAAATTTCTATGTAACCTAATGGCTCCATTGATCTGGGGCGCTAAAAGGCACCCCTGTAGTAGGACGCTAACATCGCCGATTACATGGGGCTTTAAAATGCCAGTGGGCTGAACCGATTGACCAATTTCCTCACCGGTCCAAAACACGGGTCGTGAGACTTGTAGAAGGGGTGAGGCAGAAGGATCGCGTGACAGGTAGAAGGGGTGAGACTACCGCCTCTCTTATGTGTTTCTCTAAATATGGAAAGCCTTTAATGACTATTTATTGGAGTATTCACACCCCATCCTCTTGTGTGCGAGTTTCCTTTCCTACTTCTTTCCTTGTTCTTCCTCCAATTGGAATCTATATATTGTTGTTGTTTTAGAGAGTTAGGGCAGCCTTGGTTTTGCAGATTTTAGATTTTTGTGTGGAGTATTATCCTTACTCTAGGGTTGTATACGAGGTGTTGGTATTCCGGCTGTATCCTACTTCGAGGTGGTGTTGTATCTTTCCTTTTACCCTTACCTTACCCTTCTCCTCCCCTCTTCTCCAACTCCGGCCTCCTCATACTTCAACCTAACACCCAGCCGCCATTCCCTACCGCCTACCCTTGCTGTCCACTCACCCAAACTGCACCTTCCTTGCTGCCTACCTTCGCTACCTAATCGCCCGACCCTGACTCTAACCCTCTGCCGCCCTTCTTAGCAGCCACTCCTGTCAGCATACCAGGCCCCTAAACCCTTACCTGACCCATCTCACTGCCACTAACCCTTCCCCATAACCACAATATGCTGGCGACGCCACCCCACCCTCGAATCTCATCTTTTGGTCCCTAGCAGGAAATTGTTTTGTCGTTGTTTGTCCCTTTTCATTGCGTCATGTTGTAACCCTGTTTCTATATTAATAAAAGTTTTATTTGTGTTTCGTTAAATCTCGATTAGTTTTGGTATCAATTGGTATCAGTGTTAGCTCGACTTTAATCCCATCCTAAAGTTTCTAGCATCTGCCTCACCCAAGCCACATCCACCCAATTTTTTCCTTCCACTTCCCAAACCCAACCATGCTACCATGGAAAGATACATCAGGCTCTTTTCGGGAAGGGATCCAATGAGAAATCCTTCGTCTGCAATGGAGACTAGCTGAGTTGGGTGATGGGAACTAGAAAGAGATTACTTTCAATCGTGATCGAAAGAGTCAAGGGGAAGATAAGGACAAGGATTTGAATCCGTCTCACTGGGAATATCATAGTGATTAGGATTATCGACCACGTCATCTTGGTATCCAATACCAAAGAATTGATTTAGAAATTTTAACCTTTGCTGAGAAATGTAAGTTCACTCTCTTATCAGAAAATTTCAGTGGAGGCACCCATCTATAGAAGTTATCAGAATGAGTTTTAAAGATCTCAAACTAGTAGGAAAGCGGAAAGTGAGACTCCTTGATGGGAGACATGCGTTAACATTGTTGGAACGTCAATGATCTTACTCAAGTGGCTTCCTGATTTTGACCCAAATCATGAACCTCCCACTGTACCAGTATGATTTAGTTTATCTGGTCTCAAGCTGCATCTATTTAATCATCAGGTTCTCTACTCTATTGGTGTGTCATACTTGTGTCATACTTGAGGATCCTATGAAGCTAGATCTACCCACCTTTAATCTAACCAGACATTCTGTTTCCTGAATACTTGTGGAAAGTGATATTACTTTGCCTGATAATATTATAGAAGTCTGTCTAAACACTACACATAATGAATATTGACAACAAATTGTCATGAAACATAGACCCTTTTATTGTACCCATTGTAAGATGTTTGAGCATACCCTTGACAAATGTCATAGACTCCACCTTAACTTGAAATCTAAAGCTCAAACGCATAAGGATGTGTCTAACCCCATTGCTCTGGACACATTTGCTCCACTTATGGAGGAAATTACCACAAGATAGGAGTTGATGTCTGATTTAATTGCTCCTGAGGACCCCCCTGACAATACTGTTTCTGTTTCTGCGATTGATGTGTTGTTAGATGGCTCTGTTGGGCAACCTACAACTTCAAACCTTCTTGAAAACAATACTGAAGGATCCTTACTTACAAAGGACATTGTTCGAATCGGTAATCAGGAGAGTCTTGCAGCTTCTCATATTCAGGAAATATCCGGTGCAGAGGAAACAATTCATACTTCACTCACACTAGAATCTATTGTTGTTACAATGGTTAACAATCTTTTTATTGCGGTTCTACCACCTCACAGAATGAGCAAGTCGTTACTGTTAGTCAGGGGCAAGGGGCTCATCAGCTTATACATGCTCAACAATCTGTTGACTAACACTGATCAGATGAGTCAGTCTTCAGATGAGGAATGACAGATTTATACATCCAGGAGGAAGAAGAAGAATGGAGGCCTAATTGAGCTCAGGAATTTAATGGATGATACATTGTTTACTACGGGTAATGATACACAACTTACCAATTTGTTAGCTGGTTCCCTTCCTAGAACTAGAGGCAGAGACATGACTAAATTGGGTCACCCCTAACTACTTGTTTCTGTGTTTTGGTGGTTTTGGTTTTTGACCTTACATGTATCTTTTCTTTTTTTTGGGATTTTTGTGTGTTGTACCGCATTGGTAGGGTGACTTTTTTGGGCCCACTCATACAATCTATTTGTATCTTTTCTATTTTAATATATTAGCCCTTGAGCTTTGAAAAAAAAAGGTGAGAATAGGCCACTTATGGGAGTCAGTGGGACTTCGACATCAAGACTGACCTTCCAGCATTTTTGGGAGGTGTGGACCTCGATGAGTTTATCAACTTGTTGCGATTAACTAAACGGAAGTATAAAGACATATCAGAGGATAAACAAATCAAACTAGATGCCATTAAATTAAAGAAGAATGTCTTCTTACGGTAGTAAAATCTACACAGGCAGAGGAGAAGATAATGCATTAATAAGAAAACTAAGTGAGAGAAGATGATTAAGGTAATGCCGAAAAAATACCTGCCATTGCAGTATCGTGAGGACATGTTTCTAAAAGTCAACTTATAACATGTCCGACCCGATGCCTGGAATTAACTAAGGCGGGTGCTGCAGTCGGACGGTATTGACATCTAAATAACTACTCACAAAATATTTTATTAACTTCCAATATATAAAAGGGTCACTACAACAACAACAACAAAGCCTTAATCCCACTACGTGGGGTCGGCTACATGAATCCTTTTTCTCAATTGCGTTCTATTTAGTGTCATATTTTCATTTAGTTCTAGTAAATTAAGAACATTTTTTATACAATAAGCCCAAGTCTTCCTAAGTCTACCTCTGCCTTTCTTAACATAATTTGAATCTAAAACATCTATTCTCTTAATCGGATCATCAGATGGTCAACGTTTAATGTGGCCAAACCATCTAAGACGACTCTCTAATTTTGTCCGCATAGGAGCTACACCAAACCTATCATGGATATATTCATTTCGCATCTTGTCTCTAAGTGTAAAGCCACATCCACCTAATCATGCTCATCTCGGCAACACTTAACTTATTTTTATGCTTCTCTTTTAAAGACCAACATTCAGTGCCATAGAGCATTGCAGGTCTCACCATTGTCTTATAAAATTTTCCTTTCAGTCTAAGGGGTACTTTTCTATCACACAAAAGGCCCGAAGTATTCCTTCACTTCAATCAACCAACTTGAATTCTACTATTAAGGCCCAAAGTCACACTTATGTCACTAGAGCTACTGCTACTAAAATTACATTCTATGTATTCAGTTTTAGTTCTTAAATGAAGGCCTTTAGAATCCAATGTAGACCATAATTTAAATTTTTCTTGGGCTTTTTCTATCGTCTTATCCATGAGAAGTATATCACCAACAAAAATCATACACCAAGGTACATCATCTTGTGGATGTCGAGTAAGCCCATCCATAACTAAAGCAAAAAGATATGAGCTTAAAGTCGATCCCTGATGTAATTCAATAGAAATAGGAAAATATTTGGTCAATCCTCCTTCAATTCGAACACAAGTAACAGATCTAGTATACATATCTTTAATGACTTGAATATAAATCAGATCAACACCTTTCTTCTCAAGAACTCTCCAAAGGATATCTCTTGGAACCTTATCTTAAATTTTTTCTAAATTAATAAAAATCAAATGTAGATTCTTCTTATTATCTCTGAACTTATCCATCAAACCTCTCAATAAATTTATAGCTTCCATAGTAGACATGTCCGACATAAATCACCCCTCAGGCATCTTTTTAGTTTTGCATCTAATATTAAAAAGTTTAGTCAGCCTAGAAACTCCCAAATCTCCTAAATATTTCCACACTTTAAATATTTTCATATTTCAATTGAGATATCATCAGGCCCTACAGATTTTCCACCATTAGTTTTCTTTAAAGCCTCATCAACTTCTTTTTTTACAATGCAAAGGTAAAAATAAAATATAGTAAAAAAGAAACTATCATTTTTAAAAATAAAAGGGTCACTAATCCACAAAATAGAATAAATTTTAAAGAATCCAAAAATAACATCTCAAGCTAGTACAATACAATATATCAATA